ACTACAGACAGAACCGACAAGGCTGGCAGAACTCCATCCGGCACAACCTGAGTCTCAATAAGTGTTTCGTCAAAGTTCCGAGACATTACGACGATCCGGGCAAAGGAAACTACTGGATGCTGGACCCCTGCAGCGAGGACGTCTTCATCGGTGGCACGTCGGGAAAACTCCGGCGCAGGGCCACATCCGGCTCCGGGTCCAAGCTCGCGCTGAAGCGAAGACAAGGTCGGCTCATGTCCTCCGGCTCCGCCGCCAGTCTGACTCTGGCGAGTTCGTTCTACTGGCCCGTGCCGCCGTTCCTGCCTCTCCAAACACCCGTGCGCAACAACCTGAGCGCAAGAGCGTATCTGAGTGCGCACCCGCGTTTCTCCAACCACGGCGCGTCCTTGGTGTCGCAGAGGTCCAGGGTGAGCAGGGGGGTCCCCGAAGACGCAGACCGGTTCGTTCAGGCGCACCGCCAGGAGATGTCTTACATCGGGGTCAGCTGTGCGCAATCCCGCCGCCACCAGATTGGAGCTGCCTGCGCGGCTTTTTCCACGTCCATCCCCGCGTGCACTCTGCCGCTGTCGGATCCGTGCTCTTTTAACATGATTTCTGGACAGACCAGCTACTTTTACTCACACCAGATCCCCTGTAACCCGTGCCAGGAGGAGTTCACACCCGCCGTGACAACTGCTGGACACTTTCTGTCCAAAGGAGGCCACTCGGACCTGGGAGGGTGCTGTAACGACTTTCCGAACTATTGCCCTCAGATCACTCCAGGTGTCCCTTCACCTTGGAATATGGACAAATAAAAACTGCCTGAGTGTAACCTGTAAAATAATGCTGTAGTTTTTAGGTCAATGTGCTGCAACGAAAAGACTCAGCGCTGGGACTTTATTTTATTTCTTATCGTATTTTTAAAATAAATGTGATTGTCATAGATGTTAGATTTGAAGCTGACACTACGCAAAAACTTTTTGATGATTTTTCCCTAAACATCCGAAAGTGTTGGTGCGTAAAAACACTTCCGTGTGGACAGAAATCAGAACGAACTGAAATCGTACAAAAACAATTACCACAGACTTTTAAAACCATCGCCTCAAACTGAATGGCTGTTTACGTCAAACGTAAAGATATTAAAAAGCACAAAAACCTTTTCAAGATCTAATGTAATTAAAAACATATAGAAGAGTTACCGCAGTGTCAGATGTGATTTGTTTTCTGTCGTCAGTTTGAAAAGTAAAGTTTGGATCGTGTTGACTTCAGACCCATCCGTGTTCTTTACGTTGTAGCGAATATCATGTAGAAGGTCGTCGGTTCGAGTCCCAGTGGAACCAAAAAATACTCCTCGTGTAAGTTAATTTGTATAAAAGTGTCTATTAAATGCATGAATGTAAATGTAAAATGTATTTTGGTTTGTATTATAGTTTCAAATATGTGACGTTGTGTGTGCCTACGTCTAGTATTAGAGGCCAAATGAACAGTTCCAACTGTTGGTTAAGTTGTCAAATAGCTACACCATATTGCACACCCATTTTAATTAGCCAACATGTAATTAAACCATAAATAATGCCATTTTAATTGTGTTTCCATTTCACCTCATTAAACCTTGTTGTTTATTGTTCTTGTGTGGCCTGTAAATAAAGGTTCCACTCTGGAGAATTACACTCACTCAACAATAATTGTTTTAAAGGTGTGTGGCGTAAGACTTTGGTCAAACTGTTACAATAACACAATTTGAAAAGGACAAAAGTCACTGATCAGCAAAACCTCACCTTAAAAATATACATTTTGATTCACCTAAAGTAAAAGTCATTTCGTATTTGAATCAGGAATTGGTTCACCTAAAGTAAAAGTCATTTTGTTTTTGAATCAGGAGGTTGCCGTGGCGATTCACTGTATGTTAATCTTGTGTGGACATAACAGTTTTTACACAGCAGTATTTGATTAGAATCTTTATACTTAATCTTTGAGCAAAAAAATACAGCAGAGTCCTGCATCATCTTTTTTTTCCAGTCTCTCCCTCCCTCTCTCTCTCTCTCCCTTCCTCTCTCTCTTCCCCTCTCTCCCCCTCTCTCTTTGTCTGTATCTTCTCACCCGTTGAGATTTGGAGCCTTTTTCAGACTGTGATGTCACTTCCACAGGTAGACATGACATTTCCAGTCTCACTGATCTTATTGATCCGTTTCATGTTTCACTCTGCCCTGACATCACTGCCTGTTAAACTTTTCCTCACCTCTGATCTGTGCTGCCTACACTGATACAAATGTTAGAGAGAAGCAGGGGGAAAAAAACAGGCACACATATATAGATTAGTGCTGTGTGAGGCTGTATCATGTTAAAACAAACGCCCCTTTGTATCAAGAGACCCCGAACCGTCACCTTCTGTGAGTGTAGTCGCTTTCACAGTCGACTGTGGTTCAGCAAACTGAGCTGGATCAGGTATCTGCACTGTTGGCAAACTCACCTCCTGGATAGATGCTGAGATAATAATATTTTCATTACTGGCATGAGCAGTGAGTGTGATCGCAGGCAGACAGAGATAGGAATCAACAGGTTCACGGTGTGAAGGTGAAGGTTTCCCCCGAGGCAAAAGTAAGAAGATACAGTTTGTTCATTTAATGAATAACTAGCTCCTTTTGACGGCTCTGTTGTTGTTATTGCTCATGTGCTGAAAATGTTGAACAGTTGTGTTCACTCCAATAGACTATTTGATATATATGCTATGTCTGACTTGTCATTTAGTAATAAATAGATAAAATTAAAACCATTGTATAAGACAATGGCTCCCAAAGTGGAGGGTGGGCACCCCTAGGGTTCACAAAATTATTTTCTGAATTGGTAACACGGTAAATTTGACCATCTTGTGATTAAATGTTCTTTGTTCAATGAGTATAATCATTTTTACTTTTTACATTATAGTGTTTAAAACTAAAGTTCAGTGGAGTTTTGAAGCAACAGCTGTGAATGTTTCAACACCAGGGGGTCGACGGTAGTCGCTTCACTTCACAGGACCACTGCAGGTTTACATGTCAGCCTGTACTGGCTAAGCCCGGCCAGTGGCTTCCACAGGTAGATCTGCCACTCTTTGAAATGAGGTGGGTGGGTTGTACACCCTCAGGCGTCTGTCTGTCTCTCGCCAGAAAGCCAATCTCTAATGTCTCATTCTTGCTGTAAAGATAGTGACTCCGGTCTCTCAAACCCACTGACACACATACACACACTTTATCTGTGTTCTTGTTGTGTTAAATAGGAAAACAAAGACCTACTTGTTTTGTTCTGTTGTGTCTCCTTGGCTCCTGTACTCTGCCATTTCATCTCCTGCTTCAGCCTCTCAGGGCTCCATTTAGAACACTTGTACACATGAATAACTGTAAAATTAAATTATTAGTTTATGCAATGTGGCAGGAGTTTAATTTATAAAATGTAAAAAGATACCAGTGGGGCGTTTCAATTAATCTAAATATCAAACATCAAGGCAATACAATCTCTTTGATTCTAACATTGATTTTGTGAGTCATTGTTGATGCTCGTTGAGTGAATGAATCCCCATTGGATAATGGAATACAATAATTCATTTTTAATGACCACAACTCAGGAAACAAACATTTGGTCTCATATTTAACAACAGTATCCCTGACGGTTGACCTGTTGTGGTGACATTAGTAACACTATTAAAAATGTATGATCTGTTTTTAATTTTCTCTTTACGTCTGTTTTTGCTATTTTTCAGGCTAGTGATACGTGCATTTTAAACTGCAAACGTTGTATTTATAAAAATGTTTAAATGCAGATCATACATGGAAATAATTTTGATTTAAAATCAACATGAACGACGTTTTCTCCTCCGATTTATAGAAAAGCTGCATGACCCGGAAATGAATCGAGATGAAGCGCGTATTTGTGCCGTACCCGGAAGTAGTGTTGCTAACGCGTGAATCGTTGAGACAACGGTGGTAAACCTAGCCAGTTAAGAGGCTCTAACTCTGAGGAAACTGTTTTTATTATAACCACACAACAATGTAAGTATTAATAAGGAGCATGTATGATTTGGAGAAATTGTTTGTTTCTGTAGTTTCACTGCCTGTGTATGGAGTTTATGTTTTAGGGCGCTACAATGCTAACGCGGTTCACTTTCTTCTTGTCGGATCAATCATGCTAGCTAGCTCCAGCGCATTAAGCATTTTCATTAGTAGTGTTTCACATGTTTATGCGGTTCTAGTGCAGCGATAGCAAGCATAACGGTAATAAATGTAATTACCTCTGTTTTAAAACCGTAAAACACGGTCCCAGTATCCGAATGCTGATCAATAGCTAACATTACATGCTAATCAGTACTGCCTTAGCATGAATCTTCAGTGGCCCGAGATACAGCGCAGTTTTATAAACGGCGTAGCGATTTTTGGGTCGTGATGTTCGTGTTTATCTCAACGTAATAACGTATATAAACGATATTTTGAGTTTTTGTAAATACGGCACAACATCTGAACATTAATTCAGACTGTTTTGCTAGATTTGTAAATACAAAAGTTGTGTTGTGGTGTTTTCAGCAACTTGGCCTGGGTAGTAGGGCTGATTTTATTGTTGAAGACCATTTCAGCAATATGATAATCGATTGGTTATGTACTGTATACTCAGTATTTCTGCCATTTTATTACAACTTATTGTTTTATACTGACACCCCTTTGTTCCTGTGCTTCAGGAGTCTGTTAACAAAACCCAAGTCAGAAATGACTCCAGAGGAGCTCCAGAAGCGAGAAGAGGAGGAGTTCAACACTGGTCCCCTCTCAGTACTCACACAGTCAGTCAAAAACAACACACAGGTGCTCATCAACTGTCGCAACAACAAGAAGCTGCTTGGAAGAGTCAAAGCCTTTGACAGGTGAGTGGATTGATCATCAGTTTAATAAATATCTGGTTGTACAGGGTCACATTATATTTGTTCCAGGTTTATAGAACCATTGCACAATTTACGCAACTCCTTACTAACAAAGCAGTATCAATAACACTTTTACCTAGTGGAGTTTATCAGTAACTTGAACACATTACTTTTGTACGACTACTCCTACTTGTATGTTAAAGTTTTGCATCTTCACTGCCTTTTCAGACACTGCAACATGGTCCTGGAGAACGTGAAAGAAATGTGGACAGAGGTTCCGAAGAGTGGAAAGGGAAAGAAGAAGTCCAAGCCTGTGAATAAAGACCGATACATTTCCAAAATGTTCCTCCGGGGCGACTCTGTCATCGTGGTGTTAAGAAATCCTCTGATCACGGGAAAATGAACTGCGCAAAGACATACTGTTGAGTTTCACCTTTCTTTTGTTTAATCTTTCTTTTTGAAAACTTTATAGGCAATTATGTCAGCTATGTAAAATGTTTTGGTGACCATTGCCTTTACAGTTGTGTTGTTGTCAGTGGATTAGGTAAAACAGTGCTAAATTTTGCTTTTCTACAAAGGACGCCTTTGTTTCATTTTATAAATAAACCTGCTCACAATTTCGATTCATGCGTTTCTTTAATTGATCTAACCTGAAGTATAAGTGTCTCGGACAACTGACGCTCCCTTAAAGCTACATCCTGCTGTGTTTAATCTACATCACAGAAATTAATAATAATTTTACAGGAAATACAATTTTAATGTTTGACAAATATTTTAAATATTAAGTGATAACTCAAACTTAAATGATCATATTTCAAATGTAGTTAATTAATGAAACTAATATCAAAATCCAAAATATATGATAATATAAGAACTGAAATTATTATGAAATACTTCATCACTCATTTGGCATCTACATGTAACTTTGACTTCACTCTTACAATACTCATCAAATTAAATGTCATTGAAAGCCGTGGCAGAGAATTTGTCACTTTTCTCTGGGGTGTTACCCCCCTCCCCCCCTCTTCATCCTTCACTCTCTCCTGACAGCATCTAATGTGTCGGGCTTGATTTCAGTCATCAGTGCTCAATATGCGACAAACTGCCGTTTAAAGGCCCACTGCATTATTGATGAGCCCAGATGTGCTGACTGTCACTTCACACCCCCATCTCTCCCTCTCTCTGTCCCCATTTTCAGGCTGTTCCTCTCTGCCCTGTCCCCTCATGACCACTTTGTTAATTGTCTTAATAGGTTGACAGCTTTCGTCTCACGTTACTTTCCCCAACAGTTGGCATCTAACCCCTGCTCTATGGTTATCTCAGCAAACAGGATTTGTTTTAGTTAAAAAATAATGTCTTTTCTGTCCTGGTTACATTGTTATTTTGCTACATGGACAAAAAAAAAAGACAATGTGTGTAAAGAAAACCCATAGAGAAAATGCTGATTATGATCCAATAGTCCAGGGGTGAGCAACATTCAACACCTGAATTGACATTTTTATAATGTTACCAGAAAATAAAATTAATATTTGTCATGATTTTTTTTAAGGCATGAGAAATGGAGCACTGAGGCATATTTGGGTCAGGAGCCACAGGTTGCAGACACTAGGTCATAATAATAAGTGATAAAAAATTGCTTTTAAAAAGTCTAAGCATATTAAAATCTCAAAGTCTGAAATATGATAGAGGACAGATACAAATACTGAGCCAATGTGAAAGGACACATTTGTATTTTAGGAAATTAATGGGTTGAGGGAAATGAGGAACCACCACATATACTCAACCCATACCTTATATTATTAGTTTTCTCATATTTGGTTATATTTTTTTGTCTACGCTTCCTCAAAAGTTCCACCTAACTTCCGTTAAACCTCGCAGCGGCTCTAAAACCACTTTGTCCTCAGTTTGTCACGAGGTGTTGCTGATGGTGTCGCTACTAAATCACGGTCCTTTTCTCTGTCAGCATCCTGGGACAAAGTGCTGTCAAATAGCGACTCTATTTGGAGATGCCTGCGATAAAAACAACTTCGGTGACCGTCGTGTGCTCGGTATCATCGTGAGCTTCTCTCGTGTTACTTCAGAGACACTTGAAGAAGACCCTCTCCCTCCAGATTTTAGCAGGCGCGGGAGAGCGATCCGCGAGCAGGAAGGCAGATGTTTTATTCAGTAGGTAAGTGATAAGAGGGGGGAAGTGTGATTATGATAGCGATCGGTCATGCATCGATACCCAACCCTCCGAGCAACGCGACACCCTGCAGAGCATCGATTGGTGCCAGGTAACCGGAGCCGCCGCCGCAGTTTGTTTTCAAGCAGAACCGCGGTCCGCAGGGTGTCAGCGACGGAGGAAAAGAGATGGGGAGGAGGAAAGGAGGCAGGAGAGATGGGGAGAGGAAAGGAGGCAGGAGAGATGGGGAGAGGAAAGGAGGCAAGTGAGGAGACAAGTCAGGGGCGACAAGGAAGACAATAAAGGAAAGGAAAAGAAAGGTTTTCTCTGGTACAGTTAACTATCAGTTCATTATTATTATGTTTAAAGTAGATCACAATAGAACTCCCTTTCTGTTTAGTCCTTATAAACATTTTACTTAAATTAATTATCAAAGCTCCTTTTGTTTGACTTTTAGACGTTCACAGACTTTTCCCTGTCTTTACTGCCTGCACGTGTTTTCATATGTTTTGGTTTGAACTTGATCAACTCTGTCATTGCTGTGAAATGAGAAAAGAAAATGTATTTATTCAATTTGTGTTTGAGACACAATTTCCAGGAAAGTTCACATTTTGTGTTTTGTGAACAGGAAGTTGGGTTTTTACTGATCTGGAAAAAATAGTTTGTGTTGACTTGTTGGTGCTTTTTGTTGGCGATAGTCACACACTAAAATAAATAAATAAATTGAAAAGTTCCACAGCGATGCAGAAGTTTAAGAAACACAGAAACATCACCAGAACCCCCCTAACCCCCCACCCCACCTTCCTCCTCCTTTCACAACAGAAGGGTGACTACTTGAGTGAAATGTGGTTCTTCTGCCATCTAGTGGATAATAACGTGTTGCTCGTTTCCCTAATAAAGTTCAGTTGACTTTCTCATTTTGATTGTTCTGAAAACTGAAATGAATAGTAAAGTCGTGACTGTGGCTGTTATTTGTCTAAATTAGATGTGTTAAAATGATCTTTTTTTAATCATAATTTGTGCAGTTGTCGCAGGATATCTTCTCCTCCTGCCTCTCTATATCATTATTATTAGTAGCAATAGTACTAGAAGTAGTAGTTGTTGTAATAATTATAGTACTAGTACTAATGTGTAAATACTTTGTCTTGTTTCTATTCCAGTTTGACGGATGAGCAGACTATTAAATCTGGTTTAAGCATTAAACTTCACCACTAGATGTCAGTAAATCCTACACATTGCATTTTGAGCTGACCCAAACCACAGACCTCGGAGTTGTTTGTAGTTGTTTTTAACTAGCCTGCACTCACACGTGTTCTTCGTTCAGTAAAACAGTTAACAAAGATGAAATGTTGTTGTGCCTTATAAAAGTCTGTTCGTGACCAGAGTGAGTGAGTTTATCATCAGTAGAGGATCGAGGCCTTCAGGCACATCCCTAGTCTGTGTATGTGACCAGTCTCGGTTTGATGTAAGTGGAAGTGCAGTCTGTTTAGATAACAGCCCCACAGGATGTAAATTAGTCTGTTGGAATGAGCACATCAACTGTGCAAAAACAGCTGTTTGAACGGCCAAAGAACTCCATTCTACGTTTCCATGACAAACTCATAAAGTGCTGACTTTGACAGGCAACACCTGCTTTGTCGCTCTCTCACCCAAGTCCCACAGAGGCCTCCTCGACGGCTCCTCTGTCAGGCTGGCAGCTCTGGACGCTGCCGACCGACTGACTGACGTCAATCTGTGGAAATAGAGCTGTGGTAGGCAGAGAAGTGGAAGAGAAGAAGGAACCTAAAATTATTGCATGACTCTTCCCACTTCTTTACAGCTTCTGGGAACAGGATTGATTTTTTTTTTTTTTTTTGAGAATGAAGCAAGCCAACACAAGTCACATAAACGCCTCCACACATGTCCAAGTGCGAGCTGTGGAGCTGCTGACGATGTGTCCAAAACTGCAGAGTTGGAGAGTGAAAGGTTGACGACCAGAGACGGCGATTTTAACAAGCGACAAGTAGCTAAGAAAAAATACCAGACCGACAATTGGTTAGAACAGAAGAGCACACGTGTCTTTAAAGTGTGGAGAGAGACATTAATAGCATTTAGGTTTTGGAGGTGTTTACACATGCCACGGAGACGTAATGCATTCCTTTTTCATCCTGTCTTCTATTTGTGTCCTTGTTACAAAGTGTGTGTGTGTGTGTGTGTGTGTACACTGGCTCATTGTTCAAACTGGGCCATGAGATCCATCTAACTTCTACTTCAATTCATTGTTCACAAAACAATAGGAAAACCCCAACTTTATCATTACAAATAGGTGTATATAGACAGACTCCTGATGCTTGGCGGATGTTTCCAATACAGTAAAAGTGTGAACTTCATGAACTGAAGGCTAACCACGAAGCCACAGTTTCTGGTAGAAAAGTGAAGTCAGAAAACCCACTCAGTCAGCAGCGCAGGTCTGTGGGTGGAGGGTTTTCAATGGGGGAAGCCTTCAGGGAGAACCCTCAGTCTGGCATGGGAGAGCTGCTGCCTTCAGGTGCTGTTGGAATTGGCATTTGTCACCTACTAAGCTGCCACACTGGGCACAGTTCTGTCTTTTTGAATATAGTGAAAAAATAGGAGCGTCGTCATAAATGTGAAGAAATGACGAATGACGAAAACTGTATGATATTGTCTACTGTTTTAACAGTATTATTCCCTATCAATGTTTAATAAAGATATTCTTATTTTAAAAGAAATACGTAAAACACGCTCCTTACGGCTGACATCGCTAAACCAAGAAAATTCCTCACGCTCTACGTTGAGGTTTGTTTTTTACGAGTTGTCCATAAACGCAACATTTGGGATTGTAGCCTACTTGGAAGCGGGTTGGGCCAGACCACAGTGAATTTACACGGCGACCGATCGACTGAGTGACCGAGTGAGGTAGCCGTTGAGTGGCGTCCAGTTCCAGCCGCTTCTGACCTCCACAAACACTGCGAAGAAGAAGAAACCTGGGAGAAAACTTGTGTTCTACTCCCGCTAATGTGGGACAGTGAGTGGAGTTGACAAGCCCGCTCCGCCACTACTGTATCACCCCTATCACCCCCCCCTTCCTCCTCCTCCTCATTCCCCTCTTCCTCCTCCTCCTCCTCATTCCCCTCTTCCTCCTCCTCCTCCTCATTCCCCTCTTCCTCCTCCTCCTCCTCCTCTCCCGCTCCACACAACCAGGAAATCGTCGAGGTGTGCTTCTCTATCCCGCTGCTGCCTCTACCCCGTCTGCGGGTGTAGATGCACCGTCATTCGCTTGCTTTTGTCTGGTGTGTGTTTTTTTTCCCAAACTCCACCAGTGTGACTTTCTTTGCCGGGCCTCAGTTCGGAAGTCGGACAAACTTGTCTACGCGGAGAGAGACTCCACTCTGGCCGAACAATGAGGTGAGTTAAAGCGGCTTCAATCCCTCCAGAGCTTGAACGTTGTGTTCGTTTCAACCGACAGACACGGAGAAATGCTACCGTGTAACCGAATCCACCGACTCACTGGCGGGTAAATCGCTTGGAAAATCACAGTTCTTTCAACTTCACTCACGCTGTTGTTTCGTCTGTGACGCTCACACGCGTTCACACGCACACATCAACAGACAGGGATAGTGTAGCAGCTTTATTCAGACCTGTAGCAGTAACTCATGTCTGTGTCTGTGTCTGTGTGATAACGACTGCTGCCATAAACCGCTGTTTATGATTAGGTTCCACCTGTTCACTGCTGCTTTGAAGAGGAGAAAAAAAAACACTTGTGTTTGTGGAGCAGGTATGGAAGCAACGTACGTTTGGTGTCGGTTCTTTTGTGTTCTTATTTTGGGCTAAATCAGCAACAGTTAAAGTCAAAGTTTTCATTCTGTTCTGGTCAACATTAGTGTGAAGTTTATTGTGGAAAAGGAATCGAGTGGCACATCAGCAAGTGCTTTCTTTAGCTGCACCATACCCACTCAACCACTGTGCTGCCCTACATTCGTGTTTATGTTGATAATGGACCTCTCTACGTTCGTCTGCAGTATCTGCACATGTTGGTACAACAGTCTGAAGCTTTAGCTCCACTGTCAGGAAAAGAGGATTTTAGAATTCTGGCTGTAAAGGGATGTTTGTTTTACACCACCTTAAAACTCTCACCGCTTTGTCCTAATCAGGGTAGAAAGATCTGGAGATAATCCCAGCTTCAGGTCACCACCGTTGGTGATTGGAAATCAATAATTAGACACAATCAATATTTAGACACAATCAATAATTTAAAAATCTCACAACTAATCAATAATTAGACACAATCAATAATTTAAAAAATCTCACAACCGGACCTGACGGTGCTCGAGGATTTAACTTGTGTCGACAGAACAGCAACAATGATAATGTAGGAATGGTGGACATTTCATTATGACACGTCATGATATTTCTGTTAATGAATCCTCTAGGGAAGTCATGTGTTTAAGTCAAGTCATGCTTTTAAAAAACGCATGTAAACGTGTTGACGTGACTGTAAAAGTACTAGGTGAACACACCTTCAGGTAATGTGGTTGGTAGTTTATCTAGAAAGACTTCACGCCTATGATACAGAGGTATCAACCACAACACTTTTTATTAACTGTGTATGACAGTGTGTATGTATGAGAGTTAAGGGTTTAGGCTCCTATTTAATCAGGTCCAGATGCTTTTTCCCCCCTTTGTATCATTTTAACTAACTTTTAACTTATTAACTTGACCTGAGGCTTATGCAAATAGTTCAGTGAACTTCAATAGAGAATAGATTAGAAGCTTAGGAAAATTTTTCGGCTGCGCAAACGGAAGGAATTAAGCAATAGCAGGGGTTTTGGTCGTATGTTTTTACGTGGTAAACCAGCGCGTACGTTTGAATGATGCTTACATTTTTTGCCATTGCTGTTCTAGCATGCTCTGTGTTTTTGTGGGACTTTAAGTTCAAGATAATGAAATGACGTATGTATGTACGAGGGAAACCCCTAACCCTAAAATATTTTCCAAGATCACGTCGTACCATAACAGATCAATCTGAAACAACGTAATACCAACAGGCTCACTGTTGTTGATTCATTGTTTTTTTTCAATCTGAAACAACGTAATACCAACAGACTCACTGTTCTCTTCCTGCTCGTCCTTGTATAACAACGGTGCAGGAATGTTAAGTCTCTGGATAAATGTTGCAACTTAAATGCAACGACCCCCTCTGCAGTCTAACCTCAAATCTTTTGAGAGAGAAAGATAGACATTGTAACGTACCCAACACTATCTACAAAAATACTAAACGGCCTTGACTGCTGTCAGTGTTCTCTTCCTGGCTCCAGATCTATTCACAATAGATACCAACAATCTGTACAAATAATTTCAGCTTGAGTTTGAAGAAGTCCAGAGTTACCTGCAGTCTGAACGCTGCCTACCTTGCATTTTAGAAAGATCATGTCCACGAATTCCTGGTCCTGTCACAGCCTGTGTAGGCCACAATTACCGGCTCTGAAGCGTCTCCTCTTCTCTTCACTCACTCCCTTTCTCTACCTCCACTTCAGTTGTGATTTTAACCTGATTTAACGTTTTTCTAAGTTTTCTGAAGTTGAACCGATGTAGAGCCACGGTGGTGCAGCAGCTTTGATAACCTGTGTGACGAGTTCTTTATCTCGCATTCATTGCGTTGCCCTTTTCTGTAACAATATATCTCAGCGCAGACACAAGGGTTGGTCCCAACTTTGTATTTGTTTAGCACATATTTTCAGCATGGTAACTTTGATTACAGCAGGACCTGGGAGGCAGTGCAGCTTCCTGGAATCCTGCCACAGTGACATTCACTGCTAACGCTACAGTCGTGTTCTCGACTTAATGAGGACATTAATTGAGTTAATGCTGCATCGGGACAACATTAGTTGTTGACATGGTCGACATGAAACAGGACCAGACTTTTCTAAGGACTACAGACAACAATATGATGACAAAATATATGAAGTAATAGTTCATATTAGGTTAGATATAAGAATAAATAAATACCTTGCTTGTGCAGAATTGTTTTGTTTTGACCCATTAATATTTGCTACCATTCCTCCAAAAGCGACACCGTATCAGCTGCTGTCAGTCCTCCGCTCAGGCCTCAGCAATTTACTCCCCCTAATGGGTGAAAACTGGTATGCGGCCTCGCTCAGCTTTGTTGTCGTTTCTCACTGAGGAATGTAAATGTTGACATAGACGTGCAGTTAGTTGGTCAAAAGTTCAACGCTTTGACCCAGTTAAGAAAATGTTTCGTGGTGAAATGGTTCAACGCCAGAGCTCAACGCTGCCACACACCTGTGAAGCGATGCCTTTACTGCCCGCTCCACCAACGCATGTCTGATAAATTGTATCCTTTGGTGATGAGGTACTCAAAGTGCTTCCGTCTGCATGTATGATTGGCTGCTGTTGTCAGAGAGGCGACTGCTGTTCCCCCCTCTGAGTCAGTGACTGTGTGGCTGTGATTAAACCTAGACCTGCCCTGTCTGACACCAGCTGTATCACCGTGTCCTGGCGAACGTTGAAAGCCAATGATGGAAACGTGCACAGTCGGTGCAGACAGCTGTAATGTATCTGCTTAACACGGTGTCTGCAGTCTGACGAGTTCCATGCGTATCAGTCTAGATGCTCCACATGCCTGGAAGCAACAGCAAAACAGACCATTTTCAGTCCAACCTTCCACACCTTTGTTATTGATCGGCCTTAGAAGCAGGTGAAGGGCTCCCTTCTGTCTTGTTGGTGTCCCAGATGTGGAATTGTGGATTAGAATGCCCCCACCCCCCCCCGCCCCAGGGTCATCTGTGTTCAATCACCATGTCTACCTTAAAATGTGGAATTGTGGATTAGAATGCCCCCCCCCTCAATCACCATGTCTACTTTAACATAGCCCCCTCCCTACTGGAGGTCAAAGCAAATTAGTAGCTATCATTACAGGTAGGTGGCAGTAATTATTCAGTTAGCCTTGTGAGTTTAACAGGCTCAAAGGTATTGGTATTGTGCTAGCTTCTGGTTCATGCTAACTTGTTGTGTAATGTTCGTAACACTGTTTCTGGATTCTTCGTGTCTGAACTTGTTCTTGTAATCTCCTGCACATATTTCTGTTTTCTTCCATCAGAATCAGAGTAGACGTTAAGCTAATGTTTTTATATAAATGCTGCTGTCAAAAAAAATGTATTACTGAATCCTTACGTTCTTAAGAGTTTAAAAAGTTTGATGAAATTCCTCAGTAGTAATAAGAGTCACCAAACATCATTCTTTTGAAATCAAAGTTGTCTTTTGTCACTGGGTTTTGCAGACTTCACCTGAACACATATATATATATATATAAAATGGAAAGCACTAAAATGCTCAGGGTGTGTCTGAAACAGCTTCCTTATCTCTTATTGATTGAGAGTAATGGTTTTATTCGATGCATTTTAAAGAAGTGCATGCTAATTTGCACTTTAGTAGCTTTGCTTGGTAGTGCATATTGCAATATCTGTGTGTATACAGTACACGGAGTTGGAGAAATCTGAATTGTTGTACCGACTACAAATTCCATACGTAAAACAGAGGGTGAAATAACTGATGAATTAAAGGTGAAGCGACAACCAATAACTAGTGTATCAAAATATTGATCCGCTGACCCAATACCGTATCAATATTTTACATCACTGTATTGAATTTTTTTGTCACCAATTCCCAGTCCAATATTCCTGGTGTTGGTTCATTTTCTTTTTCTTTTCTTTCTTCTCTAGTGATTCCAAATGTAGATCCCTCTGTTCCAGTGTTAGTAACCTGATGTTCAGATGGAACAGAGTCTGAGACTAGGATCACGGTACACACCCCACCAACAACTGTTGTATCGCCAAACATTCCACTTGCAAAACTGCAACAACTGTTGTTCTTGTTTCTTTTAACAAATCAGATGTCCAAGGCCGTTTTAAGGACCATGTGTGTGTGTGTGCATCCTAACAAGGCTGTTCGCTCCATCACTCCACGATCTCACGTGTTGAAATGATCAAACCAATTCAGTTTGATACACACATACAACATAGACCAGAGTCAACCCCTCCCTGAAACAAATACACCCCAGTAGGTCCTCCCACCTCTCATAGTCATAAAAAGACCATTATGCCAGCTGGCCTCTCGGATTAGACTCTTTACTACAGGAACTGGTGCACACACAAGACCTTCTATTGTCTGCCTGGTGACAAATCCAGTTTCCTTGCCAGTGGCCAACGTTTCCCATTTAGTCCTGTCTTCAGGCTGTTGCACTCTTTGACAATATCGTTAAACTGTTGCTTACAAACACAGTGTTTTATCGTCTTGACTCGTCGTTGTCCTCGCATGTTAGGTGAGGAGTTTCAGTCAAACTTTTACAGAACCATAGATTTGTGTTGCAAAATTGTGGGTGGTTTCTT